AAGGTCCAAGTTGTTGAATTTTGCAACATTTGGCTAACCATACTCGGCAGAAGCATCTACCTTCATCGGTGCGTTGCAATATGTGCATAGAGCATACTCCAAGCATGCTCGAAAATGCTAATGAGTAAAATAGGGGGAAGAAGAGCCGAAAAAAATTTTACAGTAAAGAAAAGCGTGAGAATTGCAATAACAAGTTTAGATTAACATGTTTGATTTGATGATTGAGAGAAGAGTTTTCCCTCCGGATGTGTAGAGCTTCTTTGATCTTGATATTGAGCTTTATTTTTATTAATATAAATGAGAACTTTAACGCAAGCTAATGGATATGTCTGTACGTCACTGTATTGCACAACTCTGCTAGCATCCAATGGTGATTGAGAGACTCACTCTGCCGCCTTTTGGTTCTCAATTTTGAAAAAAACAAAATGGCTGCCAACTATGGTAGAATGTGAGGTAATTGATGGACGAATGAAAGGAATATCAACTTTGGAAACCAGTGACAAGTGTTTTTGTGGGCAGAGTAACGGGAGATGGCCAACGCCAAATTTGCATTTGTCTAAAGTCTCCCCCATAAATCACGAAATGCATCCGCCTTCATACGATTTCTTGATCGGAGCGAATGGAAACGTATTTACAAAAATGCTCTCCACACGGTAAAAATGATTTAAAATGATTTATTTATCATTTGAAGTTTTGTAAGCTGCAAGAGTCTAAGAGCGTTCAAGATTATCAATTCATAAAATCGTGAATTAGTTTTCAAAATAATTGCGTTATAACTGTTGTACTGGCTCAAGAAGAAAACCAGAGACGAAGACTGATTCATGACAAATTCATCGCCCTTCAGGAGAGATCAATGCATAAGCCATTTGCTTTTACAAAGACGCCTGATTTACTGATCCAAACACGAAACATCGGAGTGCCAGTAATGTTACAACAAATATTACAGGAGAGTGCAGATTGCAGACGCTCTTAGGGTTCGTCAAGCAATCTTCCTGACGAGCACTAACATTGTCTGCGTAGGAGGTTACACTATTCGCTGACAAGAGAGCAAAATGTGAATAACTTCTCGTAATATGATATATGTAATGTGTTCTTCATTGGATCAAAAAAGAAACTAGAAGCAAAGCTTAAAGACGTACAATGATCGCGCTTCGAACACCGTAAATCCAAGATGCCGCAAGGCTTTGGCGATTGATTTAGTACCCGTTTTGATAAGTCTTGCACAGATGATCTTCATAGTTACGGCTTTCAGAAGTTTATGGCTCCTCTATTTGTGCGTTCATCAGAGTGACTTTTTATTGATCAGGTGTGACCAGAATCTTGTGCAATCGCAAGGGAAATTATAGTCTTGTCTCGAAGTCGTCCACCATGAAGAGACACATTTGCATTCTAGCTCTAAAGCATCGACCCAGTGATCTACAAAGTCAATTGCTTGGTCTTCTTCTTAAAAACCGTAAATTCAAGGTGCCGTAAGGCTTTGGCGATTGATTTAGTCCTCGTTTTCAGAAGTCCTGCACAGATGACCTGCTTAGTTACGGCTATCCTAATTTTAATGCTCCTGACCTCTATTCTGTCCGTTTGTCTGAGTGATTTTTATTCAGCTGTAACACAAGAATCGTGTGCTATTGGATGTCAAAACATGCCACTTTTGTTGCACTGATCCATGGAAAATCACATTTGCGTTCTAGCTCAAGGTATATGTCTGTAAATACCGAGCAGTCATCCCAACGTAACGGGCCAATTAAGGAATCGGATTGGCTGACTGATTATTTTGCTATGGGTTAGGGTTAGGGTTAGGGTCTACAGTTTTTTTTTTTTCACTTTAGGGTTTAGGGCTTGTGTAAAAACAAAAAAACCCTGACACTGTTTCAGAAAATATTTCCATTTTTTTTAAAATTTTTTTTTTTTTATCTTTGCGTAGGACGAGCCAGGGTGTAAGATAAGACAAGAAGGGATTGAAAGGAGAAGGAGTGACAAAGGTGCTCTTTTACCAGGGTCCCGTAAGCGGACAAGTGAAAGACTTGTAATTTTAAAGGAAACTACCACCTGCTCGGTACTTTTGCTTTCCATGAGATCAGGGAATGTTTTCATTTAACTAATTTGCACAACGGGGTACTCCGCTATACTCTCCTACGAACGCACTGGAAAATTAACCCGGACCACCGTGCGCGCATAGTTTTCTTCAAATCGGATTGATTCGCTTACTACCCATACTACCAATATTTCATCACTTCTTTATATGCAGGAGTACTATAAATACCTCCTCGGGCTTCAAGCCAAAACCCTGCGAGGATGATTAACTTAACAAAGTCCTCAAAAAACATTGGTGTACTTCATTGAATACGTTTTGCAGGTGGAATGCTGATCTATAACTTTAATCAAAGT